GTACCCTCCATCTCTTAATGATCGTTGTTAATGTTTGCAGTAAGCTAGTATATTTTTTCTTTATTTACAGACAAAATATGCATTACTCACCAACAAAGCTGGATATGACTTCTTAGCTATTTCATTGAGGGACTGCTTTAAATGAAGGACTGAGTGATCTCCAATGACTCTAACAGAAAAAATTTAGAGAAACAAGTAGCTAACATTAAATTCTGGGCGTCCTATAGACCTCTCACTAGTTTTAGTAAAAATAAATAAATAAATAGAAATTCTAAGGTCAGGTGCTCTATATGCAAGCACTGAAGCAGAAACCATTTCCTACACTTTTAATAATATTTAGCACACAACTTTTTCACATGGATTTATGATTGCATTTATTTCTTAGATTTTTTAGTATCTCATCCTACATATTGCAATCTTTATAACTGCATGTTGCAGAAATATACGAATGCTTTTGTAATTTATTTGGAATTATCCCAGGTTCATCTGTTAAACTCATCAAACACAGTGTGAACACAGCTAAGCTGTATATATTTGAAAGAATTCCAGGTGATCTAATCACTTCAAAAGGAAAAAGTTCTGGTGTAAATTTGAAATGGCTTTTCAGACTGCCCTGCAGTTGTTTATGTAATATTTTTAGAACTATTCTTTCCACACAATATACCTTGCTTTGGTTTCAAGGGACCACAGATAGTCAAGTTGTGTCACACAGTAGGAATGGTGAAAAGCAAAACATGCTTAAGAGAGTTCTTCCTCACTACCTGTGTGTATAGATCCCAAGCTGCCATTGTTATAATATCACGTGGAAAAAATGCAGAGGGAATTTCTAACACTCACGCTAGATAAGAGGTAAGAGTTGATTTTTTTTTTTAAATGTGCTGTTTCTTCTTAAGTACATCAACTAGGAAAGCTGCTAGTCTCTAAATGAAAGCTATCAGCTATGTTCCTCATAGTGATTTTAGAATTTCATAAAAATGTCATCAGAAGCCCTCAAAACTTAATATACACATGCAGTATTTATCTTACTCCTACTTACTCATTATTTACTTGGTAATGCTTATTTGTTGCTATTTTAATTCCACTGTATACAGATAAAATAGGATTGTTCTTCTTGCTTATTTGAGAATGAATTGCTTTTCCTGCCTAATTTGTAAATCTGAGCTGTGTTTTCACTGCTTTCCTTGATCTTCATAATTTTCCTGCTGTGAACAAGTGAGAAGACTGGAGATGTAGTCCTGAAACTGCTCCTTGACTTTTGACTGGAATGAGTTGCTTTTTATTTTTATCTTCCTTTCCTTTATCTCCTTCAAGAACAACCAAGAGGAACTCTACCCTGAATCACCATCTTTTCTAAGGGAGGGAAATTATGTCCTGGTAGTTATTCAGGGTTTATTTTAAAGGTTCAATCCTACCAGTCTGAATCTGAGAATACTAAAAAATTGACTAAGTCTAAGTGGTAAGACCTATTGCTGCCTGGGAGCTAGCAGGCTCATCAGTTGCCTTAGTGCTCTGCAGACTTGCTATCTCAAGCCAGGCTAGTTTGGACCCGTATGGCTCGAACAGAAACTCAGAAAGAGAAGAACTGACTGCTTCAGGACTTGTTTTGTTTTTTGATTGACACCTGATTTTGGCCTAAAGTAGTGCCAACTTTGCAGTATCATTTTTTCCTAACTGTTGGGCAATGCCGATTCAGGGACAAAGGCCCAAAGCAAGAGAATTACTGTTTCACCCTATGGTTCATCTGTACACTGCTGCAATATGGTAAGCCTACTAGAGTTTAGAGCTAGGCTAAGCTTTATCCTTTTAAAGTCACTGGAGACCTACTAGACAAATGCTGTTGAGGGAAAGTCAAACATAACTAGCAAGATCTAAATCTATGCTGAGTGGAATGTTTATAAAATATCAGGGCAAGAGTATGAGCTTGTAAATAATCCTAATGCCCTATCCCTTTGGGAAAAACATTGCACACCAAGTATTATTCATTTCTTTATTGTTTTCTTACATTATACGAATTTTTTTATTGGACTAAGTGGGCTTTATAGTGTTGATTGTTAATAAGATCTGGCTAGCATTGTGTTTGTGATTTAAGTAAACAACATTTGCTTTTTATACTGACTTTATGAGACTTCTGTGAGCTTTGGTGTTGCTGATATAGTGAGGATGTATGGCCGTTTAAAATCAGATTGTAGAGATCATGTGACAAAGTAATTTTTCTATCAACACAACCTCAGGGATTTTTATTTTGTTCTGCAAAAAGTTAGGCACAGCTTGCAAAACAAGGCAAAAGTCCAATGAACGAAGATGGGATCAATTCCAGCCTTTCGTTTGTATGGAACAAAGAAATGAACATGAGCAAAGACAGGTCTTAGAGTAATCTTGTCTAAAACAAGCATCCTTTGATAGAGTAACATGGTAATTATGGGCTAATTGCCACTGTGATTGGACAATAGCATAATACAATGACCTTCCTGGATTCCTGTTCCTAGGTTGTTCCTTGTTAAATTTCTAAGAATCTTCATGATCTTTTATTGAAGCTCACACTTTGCCTTATCCATTTTTGTGCTATCCAAAGGTGTTTGACTATCCATGGTATTTATATTTAATCCAAGATTTTTTATATGTGTATGTGTGTGTACTTATCTATATATAAAATTTACTCTAAGGATTAAGTCCAAAGGTATTTAATCATCAGGCTCAGATCAGGTGACATGCAACATTAAAATCAAATGAAGGTAGGCAACGTAACTACTTTGGAAGGATAGCCCTGACAGTTGTCTTTTCTTAATAAATTTTTATTTTAACATGATCATGCTTAGCATCTGTTGTCTCCATTTTTAAAGATGGAGAAAGGACATATAGGAAGAATTTTGATTAAAATTAAGTGTTTAAGTCAGTCTGAAAGTCTGAATCTCATACTTTCTAGAGCCCCAAGTGCTGGTTCTGTGCCTTCACATCTTGAGAGGGCTTAGTAACCTCACTGGGATATCCAGAAGAGGCTTTTCTGTAACGAGTTTCCATGACAAGTTTAATCAGATTGGCTTTGTTTGGATCTAATATACACCCACAGATGCACACATGCAAAAAAAAAAAAAAATCAGCAGCCATGCACTTGATTAAGGAAAGCTGCCATATGGTGCCTATGTGCCCCTCCTCCTCCCTCTCATAAGCAGAGCTCCAAGCCCAAAGTTCTGTGGGAGAACTGGGTTTTATTTAAATCTCAGTCTAGGGGACAGTCTCTCCTCATCTCAGAAAAATGCCAATGGCTTAACTACTACTGTGTAGGCTAGAATGGGTTAGGAATGATCTCTATTCATGCTGTTAAAACTGTGACCACTTTGCAGCGAAGTATCTGTCTTCCATCTAAACAAATGGAGGAACGACACTCTGGTAAAAGCATTTACTTTTTTATTAATCCAAAGTCATTGGATAAAAATACAACAACAATCTAAAAGGCAGCGACAGCTATCAGTGACTCATAACTGCTCTCCTTGTTCACTGTGTTTGTGAGAGAAGTTGGGAAGGCATTTTGTAGGATAGCGCTCCCAGCTGTAAATCTCAGAGAGAAAGAGGCATCTCTCCTGCTTTACACTGTTAAGTCCTGCTTCTGCTCCCATGGCTCCTTATGCATTTTATATTCGATATTTAAAAGATATACTTGCCCCTCTTTAATAACCCTAGAAGAAACAGAACTGATGTTTTTCACCTTCTCTTCAGTGGAGAAGTCTATCCCACTAGATAGACTGGTAGAATATATTTGGTAGAATACCAAATCATATTCTTGGTTAGCCCTGTGGCTCATGTATTCCTGCCTGTAGAGCTTCAGTGAGACAGGTGAGGGAAGCTCCTTCCCCTCTCTCTTGCACCAGTGGCTAGGGCTTGTTCCTTGGATGTAAGGATTGTGGCTTCATATTTCTCCAGTAGACACTGAGATCCTGTCTCCTCCTTGCTGCATATGAAGCTATTATGGCAAAGGATACCTTTCTCTTCCAGCAATGTTTTATGAAAAAAACAAGAACATACTGGTCAGATGTCTGATGTAGGTAGCTATGTACAGGAAGTAGTTTTTGCTGTGAGCATCCACCTCCCAGTGATGTCTGTCTCACAGAGATGCTTAAGCAGAGGCAAAGGAAACCATGGTGTGCAACCTTCTCCTCTCCTCTCCTCTCCTCTCCTCTCCACTCCTCTCCTCTCCTCTTCAGCATTTTCTTGTGCATGTCCCTGTAATTGTGAACTCAGGTCAGACATTCACAAGTCCCCAGTGTTTCCTTGCTGGAACAGAGGTACTCTATTCAGCATCCCTGCAGCTGGCACACTTGGCTTTGGGCATTGCAGCACGGAGCACCACAAATGCTCTGTTACTCACTGGAGCTGGGCTCAGGCTCCTAGCTCATGGTTGTGGTTTCAATTAGTTGACAGGCTCCTTAAGAAAAGGGATATTTAGCATTGCAAATCATGAAGACTTTTGTGGCTTGAACTCTAAGTTATTCTCCATTCATCACTCAGAGACAGCTTTGGCAGAACTGGGTTGCTGGCTTGTGCTGTAACTGGTGGAATTAAAAATTCTGAAACTGCTGAAATCCTCTTTTGAGCCCAGGGATTGATAATGTGGCTGCTGTTAACTGGGAGTGCTGTTTCTGTGCCACAGTAAAGAGACCAGCTACTCAAATACTCAATTATTCTGTCAATGTATTCCAGATCTCTGGGCACCTCTCTTCATTCTCTTTTCTGTCTCTGACTCCCTCTACTTTGTTATATTTTCCGGTGCAGATTCCTTGTGCTCAGTTCTGCTCTGGGGCAGGGACAATGTGCTACTACAGCTACATTGAAAAACCTGAATGTCCCCATTTTACACCTGAAACAACAAAGAGATTGAGCCAAAACACAAGACATTTCCGAATTTTCTAAGTGCACTTCATACAAGGCAAACCTGATGTGGAAAGACATCTGGATCTTTTATTTTTCTTTTTGGTGACACTGATTGTTTTCTCTTGCTCTTTCAGGCTTTATTTAAAAGGTCACAGTGGAACAGCTGGAAAACAGAGTAGCCTGATCTTACATGGTGCTGAATTCAGTACAAAAGATGCTGACAATGACAACTGCATGTGTAAATGTGCTCTCATGTTGACTGGAGGTGAGTACAACTCTGAAAATATGTGCTACATTGATAGGAATCTATTCTGTTTTCCTAAAGCAACCGTGGATGAAGTTGCATTCATGGATGTGTAAGTACTGTGTGAAAATTCCTTTTATTATTATTACTCGTACTCTTTTCTGTATATATATTGTGGTAGTGCCAATACCTCAAGATCCCTATCAGCAGGGAAGGGATTATTCAGAGATGCAGTCGGTATACTTCTGCACTGAAGCTGTTGCAACAATGTCAAGGGGAAAAGCATAAGTTAGTGTTATTGTTGACGCAAGAAAGGCAAAGTAAGAGAGAAGCAGCTAAGAGATGAAGAAGGGGAAAAGAATTTTGTGAGAAGTGGGAGAATCAGCCAGAAAATGAAGAGAAAAAATGCAGGGAAATAGATAATAGAAGGTAAAGTTTAAAAACAATCAGAATCTGGACTTGCAATATATTATCTATTTCACTTAGTTTCAGCCAGTTTCACTCACTCGGTTGCTGACTGAGGTTAAACCACGACAGGGTGTGATTCTGTTATTGAAATAATTATAATGATTCAGCTGTCTTATACGAGCATAATGCATATATACATATATATGTATAGACATAGTTAATGTAATGGCTAATTCACTCACCTGTGAAAGACCAGACCTGCAACCCCCTGTTAAAATTGTAGCACTTAGCTGTTCTGGAACATTTAAAACAGTATCCTTAGTGAGCTGAGTCAAGCTGCAGAAGGAAAGAAAGAAGAGTTGAGGTGGGGGCGTGCACAAAGAAGTTATACTGGGACAGTTTAAAGCACCAAGTCAACCTGACTGCCAGCAAGTATAGTGTGTATGACTGATATTTGTTCCCTTAAATGCAGAGGAAGAATATCTGAGATTATCTCCCCATACAGACACCTAAAGCTCTGCACAAGACTGAGAACTTTCTCTGGCAAATGATGCTTATTCTTAGTCCCTATATGGGCAAGCTCATTTTTATCTCTAGGACACCACATTAAAGCAGAAAGCTTAAATTGGGATTCTTTGGTTCATTGACTGTATGACCAAGAAAGGCCCTTATCTTCACATCTGATCTTCTTCGGAGACTCTCCCTCAGTGATTTCTAACTTTCCTGGAAAAAATCCTGTAGCATATAAATTATTCAGTATTTTGGATCAGAATGTTAAACTGATATTATTTGTGGTTATTGGCACTCTGACTGAATCCAGCTCAGGCCACATTCAGGCATGCATGACCCTCTAAAGCTATCATCTGCTAACAGAAGATGGGTTCCCATCACTGGGAATTTATATGAAAAGCACAACCTAGCTCCTCATTCTCTTTTGCCGATTGGAAATGACCCAGTTGGGAAAGTCTTTAAGGAGCTGATTTTTCAAACTTTCCTAACTTCCTCTAGTGATATCTTATTAAAAGTCAGCATGGGAAACTTCTTCCAGTAGGCAGGTGATCAGACACTACCTTTCCATTTCTATAGAAAAAGAAGCTAACCAGGTAGTTCTGGAGACGGATAATGCATAAGAAATCAATAGTTTATTTTAATTAAAACTGTTGACCTTTCCCTGTAGAGACCATGCTAAATTAAAGTGTCTTACTTCCAGGGCAGGCCAGAGTCCAGTGAGAAGCTCCTAAATGTGAGTTGTGTCTGTGCTGAAGTGCAGACTCATTCATGTATCCAAGCTGCCTGGAAATACCTCTGCTCTCAGATGGCTAATTCTGGGAGCTGGGGGTTTTGTTTATTTTTCTGCCCTGACTTCTATGGCAGGTCAATGCCCTGCTAAGGTCAGCCTGCTGTTGAACAACCATTCCACAAGGTTCACATATATTTTGCTGCAGCAGTCCTGTAAATCAACAGGAAAACCACATATTGGAATATACTGGTAACAAATGAAAGGAATAAGGAGGAAGGGGGAGAATTACCAAAGGCTGAGGAAACCACAAATAGAACAAATCACTGCAGAGTAAAAGGAGAAGCAGCTAGCCTTTGGAAATAGATGAGTGTAGTCTTTTGAACTAGACTCTGAGTACTAGTAATTTGTAGTACTTCAAGAAGAGAAAGACTTTAATCATGCTAGAGTTCTCCTCAAACACTCTGCTATGCTTTGCTCCTTGAAATGACTTTCTCATTCCTTGAGAAATATCAGAAATTGAATTAAATACCAAAACATTTGTTTAGTGAGTAGATTTCAGTTTTGTACCACAGACAAAGACTAATTAAGAAAAGTAGCAATGATAGCAGGTTTTGGAAAACCTCTTTTTTTCCCAAAAGATATCAGAGACTCTGTTAGTTTTGGCAACATCACAGAGAGCTCTTTAATGATGAATGATATGAAATCTACAGGCAGGTTTCTAGCTATCTTGACAGTTTGGGTGAGCCTGTTATCTCTATGAGGTGAACTGAATATATTTATGTCAGGAATAAAGGCTGAGATAAGCTGAAGCTCAAGACTGTGATATGGTTATAGTCAAGGCTGAAAATAAAAATGTAAGGAAAACACACATTTCTCTCTGTGATCTTACTAGTTGTCAGTTTTATTTGGTCTATATCAAAACTATTATTCTCTCTCCTCCTTTCTCTTCCTCCCTCTTCCCCAGAATAAGAAATTAAATACTGGGAGAATAATACAGTAGCATCAACAGAGTTTTGTGTGTGTGTGTTTCTTGTCCTTTCAAGAGCTACTTGACTCTATCTTAATATTGATTTTAGGGAATGGCTTCAAAAGTACATTCATGAGCTGGATTCTTAGCCTCTGTGAACTTTACATGGTAGTTAAATGTTTTAGCTGCTTTTTTGTGCCTTGGAAAATTTAAACTAAGCATGCTTGGTTTACTTTAAAGGGAGGCAAAGCATATTTATTCAAATAATATCTTCATTTAAACTTAACATTTGACAAAATAGTAAAAAATTTTTATATCGTGAAAATACCTGTTAAGAACTGGTACAATATCTCAGGCCAGTAAACTGAACAAAAGATTATATCCCCATATCATTTCAAGCATTATTCTGAACAGAATGACAGTGAGCTACATACACAGCTTTTTGCAAGAAACAGCACTTAGAATGTAACAAACTGTCACCAGAACAAAGCACTGAGTAGATGTCCAAGGCGCTTCAGATAGATTTCCAATAGAAGAGCACTTAACGTCTCTGGATCAGATTTGTGGGCACAAGGCCAAGTTAGAGCATCCCGCCAGGATACCACCTGTCAGCTGAGCCCCAGGAATTGTTTGTGCAATTGTTTTCAGTCACTGGAAAGTCACTTATGGTAACTTGGCCCATAGTGAAATAGTCTTAAGGTGATTTGCTTTGTCTTGCATTGGCTGCAGTCTGAGATGTTCACACAGGCATTTACCTTGTTTCAGGTGATAAGCGAGAACGTTGCTAAATTTCTGATCCCTGGAATAGTTTGACAAAGTGATGGGGAGACTTTCTAGCTGTCTTGCTAGCATTGAAACAGCATAGAATTATTGAAATAACTTTTTTTATTTTACTGGAAGCAGAGGTTCATCCAGCTGCAGTCTCCTGTCTCTGACAGCAGTCAGCAGCAGATGCCGCAATATGGGCATAAGAACAATGCAAATAAATGATACTTCCCCTGAGTATATTCCCAGTATCTTTAGCATCTCAGGGGTTTCCTGAGTCAGAGACAGTTCCCATGTATTTAGTAATCCTGAAAGGATTTGTCATCTATTAAGTGAGAGACTGCTCAATGACAATCCCAAACAGTGGTGCACTCATTGCCTGTTGTTTCACTGCTTTTTTCTCCAAGTGGTGAATTTTATGAATGTCTGGCAAGAATGCTATGGAGGATTCCTGTCATGACTTGGAGGGAAGTTCTTGGCTGAATATAGAAATCTGCCTGTACATTATCCAATTAGAAAAAGCCACAGTTTCTCTTATATTTTGTTTGAAACAAAAACTTTGAAAGTAGCAACCTCAGCACACTTAAAAGTGTCCAACTTGAACCCCTGGATATACATCTACTTATGCAGAAAAGCATCAATTTTTAGGTTTTATGCATATTGTTGCTTTCATAAAGAAGTTACTTATAAAACACTATTCATGAAGTATTTATATTGCCTAATATTTTGATAGAAAAATATAACCACTATGCAGATAAAAAGTGATTGGAATATTATTTGATTTATGCTAGAAATATTAGAAATATTTCAGTAGAAATATGACTACTCAACACTTTTAACAAAATCATTACTATATTGCTATGTTTATCAGGGTGAAGTATGGACAATAGTAATAAAGTATTAGGAGAACAACAAGAAGTGACTAACTTAAAAATTATTCAGTTGATATATTTAGAAGATCAGAACATGGCCACCAGTCTGCAAGTTTCATGTTATTTTTACTTCATAAAAAGATGTTTATAAAAAGGACTGTGTTATCCAGTTGATATGAAAAGCTAATGCCTTTTTATCTTATATCCTGACAGCTAAATTCTGATTTAACCTTCAGAATGTCAAGTACCAACTGCTAAATGATAGTCTGGTCAATCAATACTCTAACGAATAAAAGAACATAGGCCTGGAAATGACTTCCAGAGGTAATTTAGTCCTTTTCAAAGACAGACTCTTCTCTACCTATTTATTTCTGTCTTTCTGTTCATCTTCAAGATTTGTAGTGATAGAGACTCATTCTCATAATTAAATCTGTTGCTGAGTTTGGCTACACTTAGAATCATAGAATCATAGAATCATTAAGGTTGGAAGAGACCTCTAAGATCATCGAGTCCAACCGTCAACCCAACACCACCATGCCCACTAAACCATGTCCCTAAGCGCCTCATCTACACGTCTTTTAAATACCTCCAGGGATGGTGACTCAACCACTTCCCTGGGCAGCCTGTTCCAATGTTTAACCACTCTTTCAGTAAAGACATTTTTCCTCACATCCAATCTAAACCTCCCCTGGCGCAACTTGAGGCCATTTCCTCTCGTCCTATCACTAGTTATTTAGGAGAAGAGACCAACACCCACCTCGCTACAACC